CATGCAGGCCTCGGATAACCCCCAGCAAAGGACGAAGATGGTCATGAGGTATCGAGCCGGGAAGCGGACAATGACATAGGACGAGAAAGGCTGCCAGGCGAGTACGGCGATCGGTGTCATCGAGCTCGCGAGCGAGTACTGCGTCCCTGAAAGGTTGAGGTCCTTGGTCAGGCCAAAGGTGTTACCGTAGCCGAAGACGGTCTGGGGAGAGTTAGCGAGGCAAGTCGACTTGCGTGGCATTTGCAGAATCGTTTTCATGTACCTTGTCGTAGATCTGAAGAAAGTATACCCAGACGAGCAGCGGAAGGAGGTTGAGGTCCGTCTTGCGCAGGATGCGACGGTTCTGACTCGGTCAGCGATGATCACGCGGCGATGCGACGGCCGACGGTGGACGATGTCGGCTTACATCCTCTTCGGTCAGAGTGACCCGCTCCAGGTCCATTGCCTTGGCCGCAGCATTGTTCTCGATGTCCACTGTTCTGGGGACCTCGTCATGCCCAAATACAGGCTTGTCATCGAGAGTATGAGACATGGCTGCTGTTGATCAAGGAAGGGCGTAGGGTATTCTCGTGACTCTGGGAGGAGTCAAGACCGGGTCCTACCAGGACACGAGACCCGGCGGCGACGCCTTTATACCGGTGGGGGGGCTACTGTATGCCGCTTGGTGGATGTCTAAACGTGAACGAGTGGAGTCACTCACCCGGGGGCCCAAGGGTCGAGACGGGGCATGCACGCAACACCGGCGGGGCAGACCCCCGCCTCGTCAGCCCCGGTGGATTGGCAGGTCAATGTTTCGTTTCGGAAGCACCAGGCGGAGTTGAGCATCCGACGAAAACATGGCCCGGCGGGGTGAGGACGCGGTTTGGAGCCTCCGAACCGGCGGCCCGATCGCTCTTTGGGGCTCCGTATAGACCGGCCCGACTCGCCGTGGACTTGTGGATGGGATTTGTAGATATGTAGATATCTCGCAGCATCAGAATCGTAGTCTCGACATCAACTGAAGCGTCGATCTCCACGATCCCATCAAGCTGAGACGGGTAGCACATTCGACGACATGCACGTCCTCGTCACCGGCGCGGCGGGGCTTATCGGTTCGCATTCGATGCGATCGCTTCTGGAGCAAGGCCACACCGTCACCGCGACCGACATCGCACCTCTTCCAGAAACCCTCCTCGACAGCCTGTCCCAGTATCCCCTGGAGCAGATCACCGCGGACCTGACCTCGATTCCCGCCGTCGATGCGATATTCGACGGTGCGAACCCGCCTTTTGACGCCGTGGTGCATGTCGGAGGCGTGCGGAGTCCGGTGGGCATGGATCCCCGCCTGGTTCACAATATCAACGTCACGGCGACGTACAACGTGCTGTACACGGCTGTCAGCCGGGGGGTCAGACGCCTGGTTCAGGCGAGCTCGTGCAATGCTCTAGGCCTCAGTTGGACCAAGCCCGAACATTGGCACCTTGACTACGTTCCCGTGGATGAAAAGCACCCCAAGCGACCAGTAAGTCCAGCAGGCGACTCCGCCTGCGCCTATTGACGGAATTCAGACTGACCGTTCCCTCAGGAGGACGCCTACAGTCTCTCCAAGCAGTAGGATCATGGCCTTGCCCTTGACAGCTCCCACAGCTAACATCCGTCCGCAGGATAATCGAAGCTCAGGCCGAATCTCTCTGTCGACTTTACCCCGGCACGCGAATCGCCTCTCTCCGGATGCACTACACCCGACAGTCCGTCACCGAAACCACCTCTGGCGTCAAGCACACCGGTCTCTGGGCGTGGTCATCAGTCAAGGCCGTCGTGGACGCCACGGTGCTCGCGCTGACTTCGGAGGGATGGGAAGGCGCCGAGGTGTTCCACATTGCCGACGACGAGATTTTCTACCCGGCAAAAGACGGTGAACAGTCGACGAGTCTTGAGCTGCTAGAGCGTCATTGGTCGGGCAGAGTGACAGATGTTCGCAAGGAGTGGTGGGAAGGAAGGCCAAGGCGGTCGTTTTTCGACACGACAAAGGCGAAGACTTTGCTAGGATGGACCCACACCGCATGACAATTCGACCGACTGTAATCGTTCTTTGCATACTTGTTGACTCAATCCATACTTGTATCGTCATCCTAAGAAGAGTGTGGACTCACTCGCAAAGTGAGCTCACGGACCGGGTTCTGCTTGCGATTTCGATAAAAGCCCTCCCTCAGCTTTCTCTGCCGACTGCTGCTACTCCACCCCCGATTATTCCCGCGTTGACGACCTGGTACTGTGCGGTCCCCGGCCATCGCTTGTCGGAGATCAGCAACACGAGCATGTACCTAGCCCTCCTCAGCTCGATGCAAGCCCATCTTCGCGTCGGACACATCCGGCGGGAGGGACTGATCCGCAGGAGTCCGCCTCACTTCCAGCTCCTGTCGGGTCGGGTCCATGTCTCCCATCTCAGAGATACACTACTGGATGCATCGAGCTGCTCTCCGAACAGGGTCCGGCTGGGTTCCCGCTCCAACACTTCCCCGCCTTATAAGCACTCACAGGTCGTCCATCGCCTTCACCATTCCTTCCACCAATCCTCGTCATATATCCTGCCCATAATGACAACTTCTGCCTCCAACGGCCAACCGAGAAAGTCACTCAAGATCGCTGTCATCCCAGGCGATGGTATAGGCCAGGAGGTCATGCCGGAGGGGCTCAAATGTCTGCGCGCGGTGGCCAAGCGGTGAGCACGCGATCGAGCAATCTCCGGAGGGGTGTACTTGTACAGTACTCGTACTGTAGCGGCTGACCAGGACTCAGCTACAACATCGACATCCAGCTTGACGAGCACTTTGCCGACTGGGCGACGTGTCCGCGTTACTTGCGCGAGGGCTCCATGCTGCCCGAAGGCTGGAAAGAGCAACTCGCATCATACGACGCCATCTACTTTGGGGCCGTGGGCGACCCCGCCACGGTCCCCGACCACATTTCCCTCTGGGGTTCGCTCATCCAGTTCCGCCGCGAGTTCGATCAGTACATCAGTCTTCGCCCCTGCAAGCTGCTTCATGGAATCCGGTGTCCTCTCGCAGACAAAAAGGTCGGCGATATTGACTTTTGGGTCGTGCGGGAGAACACCGAGGGAGAGTACTCGTCCGTCGGCGGCAAGATCTTTGAGGGAACAGAGCGCGAAGTCGTCATCCAAGAAACCGTCATGACTCGCATCGGCGTCGATCGCGTCCTCAAGTACGCGTACGAACTCGCCCAGAGCCGACCGAAGAGGCATCTCACGAGCGCGACGAAGAGTAACGGTATCAGCATCTCGATGCCGTACTGGGACCAACGCGTCGCGGAGATGGGGAAGAAGTATCCCGACGTCTTTGTTGATAAATTCCACATCGACATTCTCACCGCTTGGTTTGTCCTTCGCCCCGAGACCTTTGACGTGGTTGTTGGAAGGTCGGTCCTATTCCCATCGCGCCAGTCAATACTCACCACGCTGATTCTCCGCAGCAACCTCTTCGGAGACATCCTCTGATCTTGGCCCGGCGTGCACTGGGTCCATCGGCGTCGCCCCATCGGGCAACATCAACCCCGATGGACGCTGGCCGTCCCTCTTCGAGCCAGTGCACGGCAGCGCACCCGACATTGCTGGCAAGGGCCTTGCCAACCCCATAGGCATGATCTGGGCGGGCCAGATGCTGCTCGAGCATTTCGGTCACAAGGAAGCGGCGGACACGATGATGCGCGCGATCGAAGCTGCTCTGGAACGAGGCGGCACAGGGATCATTACCCCCGATCTGGGCGGTGCGGGGACCTGCGAGGGTCTGGGCAGCTACATTGCGTCGCTCATAGAGGAGATCTAAGGTGGGACGGTTGCGATGTTTATCAGGGTTCGAGGACGGCGTCGGGACAAAATGCAAAATCATTCCCCGCAGAAATTCCAAACCAGCCCCAGCCTCCTACCGCTTTACCAGTTGACAGCGTCAGTGTTCCGCATCTTGCTCTTGCTTGTCATGAGCAGCTCTTACCACGATGTTGACGCTTGGAACTGCGGCAAGCACGGCATGCGAGGGAGACTCTCTGATTCCGCGCCGCATCGATGCCGCTCGTCCCGCCCGAAGTCGAGTCACTGCGAGACGACCCACCCCGTAGAACGCAACTGTTCGAGCTGTGCAACCCGTCGCACTGCAGCAAGAGCCAGCGACGTGGCTCAGCCAAATCCTGGGCGTTGACGGATCACTCTACTGACGTGTGAACTGCCTCTGTTGATCGAAAGAGGTGAAGAGGTTGTTTCACCGGAACTTCTGCTCTTCGCCAGTTAACCGCATCTGCCATCCATTCCACGCATAGCATTCATCCCAGCTCCATACCCTCCCACTCCTCGGTCTCCCTTCCCCCTTCATCCCGATTGATGGCCCTCCCGCCATATTCCCGAAATGTTGATACCCTCCCCATTCATCTGGACCGAACTCATGCCCACCTCCCAACCTCGCAGATCACCCCCGCCCTTCGTATCAAGGGTCCCCGGGGGTTCCTCCCACGCACGGGAGACGAGGAAGACCACACCTCCCCCTGTCCTCCATCAATTATTGGGACAGGGGAAGGACCCGTTTAAATCGATCGTTGTCCGACGTGGGAGGGGCGCGGTCTTACGAGGCGGGACACATGAGAGACGACACATGAGAGACGACACATGAGACACGGTGGTTGATATGGCCGGAGTTGTTCTTATGCTCATCTACATGCATTCCTCTGTCACCTGCTGCGGCGTCTGGAGCAGCTGACCGCATCCCTACTCGTCTCCGTGGAATACATGCTCGCGAAAGTGACGAGGACTTGCTCGCACTCTGTCTCGGACTTGGACTTGTACACAACCGCCGGCGCCACACGCCGTGAGCCAGCGATATCGCCGCCCGCCACCCCGCGGAGTCATTCACCGCTTGCTCGCCGTTCGTTGTCGAGTCTCCTTGACTTTCCATCCACCTCTTCAACCCGTTCAAGGTCACTGCCAGCGCCGCGTACATCGTCCCTACCCCACGCAGACCGAGCGGCGCGCAATCCGACAAGATGGGTCGCATGGCCGAAGCGCAGCGTAGGCTGCTCGAGGTGAGTCATCCGAGTCCATTCCTTGCTTCGTCTGCTCGGGTCCTTGCCCCATCCGACTCTTCGCCTCGAAACATCGTCTCCAAGGTCGTCATCTTGTACGCAAGGCGGCCACTGCACATACCCTGCCGACTCATCCGGATGCGTCTGCGCGGCTGTGGAACCAGTCGCTTGTGCTGACGCTCCGCTATCAGCAAATGATGGGCGCCGAGGCCATGGGTATTACCCAGCAGAACATCGATTGGTGGGACGAGAAGGTCTGCAGGAACTACCTCTTCGGAACGTGCCCACACATCCTATTCGGTAACACCGTGAGTGTCGAGTGTCAAGTGTCGAGACTCCGCGAGTGGAGTCGAGTCGAGCCGAGTCGAAGCGTATGATCCGAACCAAGCTGAGCTTCGCCCCCCGGGCCGCAGAAAATGGACCTCGGTATCTGCCCCAAACTCCACTCCGAGCGGATCCTCAAACAGTTCCAAGAACATATCGCGGCCAATCCCTCCGATCCCCGCGTCGCCGCCTTTCGCCAGGAGCACGAGAACAGCCTATACGGCTTTGTGGACGACGCGGATCGGCGGATCCGGGCGGCGCAGAGAAAGTTGGAGAAGACGCCAGAGGAGAATAGGAAGACGGTGGATCTGGTGCGTCGCATACTCCGTTCTCGTTGGACTGTCATGTGGCTGGATGCTGATCAATCTGCTGCTTCTTCCCCATCCCATCGACTCATTGACTTTCCACTTCTTTTGCGATCCCGTCGCCTCGCAACACCATCGTCTCTCAACTATCCCCACCGTCATCCTCACCCTGGATTCCGCGTCTCCGCGTGTAGATGCGCGAGATCGGCGAGATCGAGCTCTCCATCCAGGGCGCCACGGAAGAGATGGAAGCTCTCGGAGAAGCCGGAAAGGTCGAGGAATCGATGCAGAAGCTCGCGACGGTCGATGCGCTCAGGGGGGAGAAGGCGAGCAAGGAGAGGGAGCTGCAGGAGCTGAACGAGAACGCGGGCGCGTCGGGGCATCAGAAGTTGAGAGTGTGCGAGATCTGTGTGAGTGCGACGAGCTCTTGAGAGCGCGGAGCGGTCTTTGAAAACCGGGTACGGAATCGGAGGGGATGGAGTGTCGGTCGTCATGCTCGTAAGATGGGACGGAACTCCTCGCTGATCATTCAGGGCGCTATGCTTTCCGTTCTGGACTCGGACAAGCGATTGGCGGACCACTTCGGCGGAAAGGTGCGTGCTGCAGCGGTTATGCTGTTCGAGTAGGTGGTGTCACGCTGACGTCCGCAGCTACATTTGGGCTACCAGGAACTGCGCCGACTGCTGGGCGAATTCGCCGAGGCGCGAATGACCGGTCGGAACGGTACTGCCGCCGCTGCTGGCCCCGGAGCTGGCGCGTCATCGGGGTACGGTCCCCGGGCGGGTGCTCCTCCTACCGGAGCGCCTTCTGGTCCATCTGCTCCTCCCGGACCGCCGGGGCCCTCCGGACCTCCCCCGCCCGCCTTTGCCCCGTCGTCGCGCCGCGAATCGTTCCTCTCCGATGACCGTGAGCGTGATGGTCGACCGCACACGCCCAGCACCGCGCCCAAGGTGCCTCCGGCGGATGAGATGCCGGTGGTCGGTCATGGCGATAAGGTCAAACGAGAGGCGGGAGAGCTGGTCGAGGATGTCAAGGAGGATAGGGAGAGGAGCACGAGGGATAGGTCGAGAGATGGAGAGAGGGATAGGTACGGGGATAGGGAGAGGGAAAGGGAAGGTCATAAAGACAGAGAGAGGGAGAGGGAGCGGGGTGGAGATAGAGACAGGTATGGAGATAGGGAAAGGGATAGGTATGGCGATAGGGAGAGGGACAGGTATAGGGACAAGGAGAGGGACAGGGAAGATAGGTACGACAAGTACGACAGGGAGGAAAGGCGGAGTAGTCGGTACGACGACAAGGAGAGGAGGGATCGCAAATACGAGTGAGTGGATGAGTGGACTCCAACCAATCCTCTCTTGGTCGGTCTGGCTTCGCTGCTTCCGAGAGCTTATCGGGAAGTTAGGGACGGTGATGCGTGGATGAGGGCAGTGGCTAATGCGTTGGTGCAGGGACGACCGCGGTAGCCGGAGAGACAGGTCGAGATCTAGGTCTCCGGCCAAGCGGCACCTCGTCTAGGCGAGACGCCGTGGAACACGCGGGGATTGTGATCGTCGTCTGAACTCGCGTCGTGCATCGTGTGCAGGCGCCTCGCATTGCAAGGGACGGTGTGGTGGTCAACGTGTGAGAAGTGCGAGAAGCAACAGTCGTCTCGTGTGCACGAGCATGCATCTTTCTCTCTTACAATCTAACGCTACACTGGCCGACAACTGCAGATACCACGGCGTCACCTCGAGGGCTCGTGGACTAACAAAGTCCGACAGACAAAGCCGCGCCTCTGCTCAGCTCGAGCAACTGCACTGGAAGCCTAGCATGTCCTGCGAACCGAGGCCGCACAGTCTCGCGTCGTCTTTGTCGGCGTCTGGACCCTCGCCCCAAGGGTAGAACGGTCTGTTTGACATCTGAGCGGGTGGTCAGCCTCCGAGCAAACCCGCGACGCAACGGCGCAACCTGATTGATTCGGTGGAGCGGATGGCTCGGCGAGATGTGCATTGTGGAGAATGAAGAGGAGAGTAAGAGGGAGTCAAGTGCGGCGAGACTCTACGCCATCAAGTCGCAAAGTGACGCGATGTGCCATGTGCCGCGACGATCGATGCCTAGTCTGGGCGAAACCGCCTCACTCACATTTAGGACCCTCGCCAGCCTTCTTCTCGCCTCCGCATACTCCTCCTCCCCCGCCTGATCCCCGACGCCCAGCGCCGTGAGCTCCGCAATCAACTCCTCCAGGACCCACTGCCTGAGCACGAACCTGGGGTTCGTCCGCGCCATCACCGTCCTCCTGTTTGCTTCCCACCCGTTCCCCTCCGCATCGATTTTGACGGCGGTTTCTCCGAACTTCTGGACCGCCTCTGTGGAAGTATCCGCCACCTCTTCTTCCCACGCCTTGATCTCCTGCTCCTCGGAGGCTCTGGAGGCATAGCGAATCAACCATGCCTTGCACGCCTCCTTGGCGCGACCGAGCTCTTCGGACCTGGGCGACGCGATAGAAGCGGTCAGAAGCTCGTCGAGGAACCCGTCGAGGTATGATGCGTCGGAAGCGCGACTGGGGAAGAAGGAGGAGAGCGCGCGTAGCGAGGCGTTCAGATCCATCGAGTTGTCATGCAACAAGACGAGGTAGTCGAAGATGACGTCTCGGTCGTCGGACCCGCGGGGGACTTTGATCCCAAATCGCTACGACGATCAGCTATGAATCCTGGGCGTTTCGTTTCGCATCACCCACCTTGAGCCACCCGGCACGCTCCGTCTTCCTCTCGACCTCCCAAAACTCGTCCTCCCACCCTTTCATTACCTCCCTCGTCTTCTCCTCCCACTTTTCGACCTTGTCCTTGGTCGCACCCTCGTGCCAGCCATCCGATATCGGAGCGCCGCCGTGCAGCGCCTCGTACCCAATGACAGGAGCCAGGGCACCCACGAGCTTGTCCAGCGCAAAGAGCACGCGGGACGGCTGATTGCGGTACGAGTACAGCCCCGTTGGGTCGGAATGGTCTGAGCTCTCAGCAACCAGCCACGCCGGCGTTTGAAGAGTCGAGCGAATCGGACTTACTGCAAATGTGTGCTTCGTCAAAGACGTCCATAAAGGCGTACGGACCGTAGTCGATCGTCAAACCGAGGATACTGATGCTGCGCTGGATCAGCCGCAACGCCGACCTCTTTACGGCGATAGGAAAGCGCTCGGACCCACTTGTCCGTGTTGAGCACACCATGGCAATATCCATAAACCTGCCACATCCCGACCATCTCCGCATTCCTCTTGGCCACTTCCCTAACCCACTCTCCCGTCGACTTGTCCTTCATACCATACAACTCGTTCTTGCACCACATCACCAGCTTGCCGAGGCCTTCCAAACTGCCCTGCCCGCCGAGCGGGTCGGTCTCGTCCACTGGATCGTCCTGGGTGAGCCAACCTCCACCGAGGAAGAGCTGGCGCATGTTCCGGCCAGCCTCGCCGGGGTTCAGGGCCTCGAAATGGCCTATGCGGATGAACGATGGAGCGAGGCGAGCGAGGAGGGAGGGAGGTTCGGGACCTTCCTCGCGGATCACGGGGAGGTCAGAGGTGGAGAGTAGGGCGAGTGAGCGAGTGGTGGGGATACCCAGGGCTGCAACGGCTGGGAGGTTCAGCGGGAATGCGACGTCGCAGGTTATCCACATCTGATGTGATCTCACGAAGAGGTCGACCCAACTCACCTTCACAGCCCAGGAATTCCCTAACGCCACTACGCAGCACGGCCAGACCATCCGCCGAGCGCGAAAACGGTGTCCTTCCCGCACCCTTGAGCTGGATCTCCTGCCTCCCCCCTTCGGCGCTCTCTGTCTCCATCACGCTGATTGCCCTCCCGTCGCCCAACTGCCCCGCCCACACTCCGAACTGGTGTCCGCAATACCTCGTAGACCAGGGTCCGAATCCCGGTGCGCCGGGTGCGACCGGCGCGACCGGTGTGACATCTCCATTGGACGACGGCTTCTCCTCGTCAGACTTGAACACCGGTGCAGCATCAGACGCAAGCACCCTGCGGCCCGATAGGATATCCAGGAGAGCTTCGCGGCTCGCTGAGGTTGCGCTGTCGGAAGAAGGGGTATCTGATGCGTTGCAAATCGCTTCGGCGTCACCGGCGTCGAGGTGGGGTAGAGACTCCTTGAGCGCAGCGGGGGATAATCCCAGCAGCACCGGCTCGATCTTCAATCGAGTCTGACTCGAAAATAGCTTCAGTCCGTTATCCGAATCACCCGAATTGGGGGCATCGCCATGTTCGATTGGCGATCCTTCGGTCGGGTCCCACCTCGCCAACACATCCTCCACCGAGACCTGCCCGCCATTGTCGATATCCACACCCATCTCCCTCAGCTCGTCCTTCGTCACTCGTAGCGGCCAAGGAGCCCAGAGGGGGTGGACCCGCGCCCAGACCCCCGAGGTAGTGGGCTTGAACGATGTGGAGCGTCTTTGCGAGGAGGGTTGGTCATCGAGTGGGATCAGAGGAAGAAAGGACTGGAGCGTGGTTTTGGGCAGCGGGAGGCGGTGCAGCGGGAGCTTGAGCGTGGCGGCGGTGCTTGCTTGTCGGGAAGACATCTTGAGCAAGGTGGGGAACATGAGGTGAGTTGGAGTTGGATGAGAGGAGAGATGTCAGCAACGGTTTAGTACTCCAAATCTCGAGTGGTGGTGGTGTTCTGAAACGTCAAGATCAGCGGTGCCCCAGAGCCAGAGTGGCAAACGCCGGACGAAGCATTAGTCGGAATTCCTAATGGTCAGCGTTAATAAACTAATCGGCCGAAAGTCCAAGCCTAATCATTTAGCCGCAACACCTTAGCGGAATCAAAAATCCCTTTTTGCTTCCCTTTGTTTTCGCCTCCACTTGGCCGAGTACGAGTTATCTCTGAATTTTCAACCTTTCATCCGTCCAGACTCTCTCCAACGACATACACTTCTCAGCCCACGCAACATGTCCGTCCAGGTCACCCCGGCGCAGCTTGCCGTGCTCCGCGATACCCTGCTCAACACCTCGGGTCAGACGCCGCTCCATGAGAGGTTCCGCGCGCTGTTCATGCTCAAGGCGGTTGGGAGCGATGAGGTTGTGCAGATCATCTCGGAGGGTGAGTAGTGGGCGTCGGCCACGGGTCGGAGGATATGGCATCGTCTGTCCTGCGTGCCTCGTGCACTACACGTCGTGATCTTATGGCCCACGACCCTCTCGCCTAGGATCGAGTTGCGGGCCAGCTGGAGACGTGCACGCGGTGCGCGCGGTGCACGCAACGACTCGATCACGCCCGTGTGACCGCGTCCAGGTCTCTGCTGACGCTCTCAGGCCTCGCCGACCCCTCTCCGCTCCTCAAACACGAGCTCGCCTACGTCCTCGGCCAGCTCGGCCGTCCCTCCGCCATCCCGACCCTCGAGTCCGTGCTCGTCAACTCGCAGAACCAGCACTGTTCCATGGTCCGACACGAAGCGGCCGAGGCGCTCGGCGCGCTCTCGTCGGAATCGAGCTTGCCCCTCCTGAGGAAGTACTTCGATGACCCCGCGAGGGAGGTCAGGGAGACGTGCGAGATCGCGGTGGGGAAGATCGAGTTTGATTGCTCCCAGGAAGGCAAGGCGAGGAAGCCCAAGTGAGCGATTTGTCCGGCTCCATATGAAGCTTCAGCTTCAACTTCTGCTTCACACACTCCGCGGCGCTTCATGGTGCTTCGCGGCGCTTTTCGGTGATTTGCGGTGCTGCATTGTTGATGGGCGAGGAGGGACCGGCGAACCCCGTGTCTGTTGTCCCCACCAAGCTCTCATCCAGACTCTCGTGCTAGATCGACGAGCGAGCGATCCCCTCATCGCCGAACCCAACCTAGACCACCCGACCCGTCTCATCCCCCCTCGCAGTCCCATCCCGACCCCGCTGACACCGCTAACCCCGCGCAGCCCCGACTTCCCAACAATAGACCCCGCCCCTTCCCTCTCCCCGCAATCCATCCCCGACCTGCACGCCGCGCTGCTCAACACCAAACTCCCCCTCTTTGAGCGGTATCGCGCCATGTTCGCCCTCCGGGATTTCGGCGCGGGGAGCAGGGACGCGGTGTTGGCCCTGGCCGAGGGCTTTGGGGACGAGTCGGCGCTGTTCCGGTGAGTCTGACGTTCAGTTCCTGCGGGAACGCTCGCATGTCCACATCACAAGGATCTGCTCATCTGACCTTGCCCGCCTTGGTTATCCGGCGTCGGAATTGCCGCTGACTTCATCTCTCCCTCTACTGCCGTCTGTAACTCTCCACGACAATTTTACCCTTGCCAACTGTCTGTATCCATTCTATTCCCGCTGTTCTCCTCCACACCCACGTCATCGTCTTGGCCCAT